GCGGGCAGGTGAAAGCTGAATTTAAATTTTCTGGGTGGTACGTTGACGGGGGACATGCTCACAAAATTTCAGCCTTCTATCTTCCGTGGTTCCCGAAATACTTATTTTACCCGAAAAACTTTTATGGGGCCGTACGTGTTACCCGCAGGTACGGGAAGGCTGAATTTAAATTTGCCGCGTCACGCGTTCGCGGGGAACACTGTATTAAAATTTCAGCCGCCTAGCTTTTATGGTTCCCTAGTTGAAAGTGCGGGACAAATTGTGGGACACACACAAACACACACACGCAGGCAACCCCGTGACAATATGCGTTTTGTACTGCTGTTACACAGCACAAAACGCATAAAAAGTTAGTAAAAAGGGTCGTTTGTCGATGATTTTTCAAGCTTGTCTCGAAGTGGTATTTTGCTGGCTGTCCTAAAAAAAACTATTAAAACACCAGTTTTCGCCAAATATATTGTTTTTTCATTTACTATATCTTTTTCAGATGGCGCTGTACAAACAGACTTTGCCGCAAATGGTATCGTGAGGTTCTGAGTGATGAGGAAGTGCCTAAGGTATTTTTTTATTCTTTGAACGTTACAAGTACCTCTTTTACTTCTGTAATTTTTGCAAATGTTGTTTTACCATACTGGTGGAATGTATGATACATGCCCATAAACGGGAATTTTCAGGCGTAAATAAAACAAAATGTCTGTTCACAGCAAATAACTAATTACCTTTGATGTATTTGTCGGAATATGTTTCTTCTTTTGTTATTCGTAGTATTCCTCTAGTAGCTTTGCAGGTCGTTTCTTCCAGCTTTTCCAGGTTAATGTATTTAAGGATGTGTATTTACGAACATTTCAGACAGGACGATGGAGAGACTTAGTCACTGCTCAAGCGAAGCCACCAGTTTCAGACGGTGCTGAAGAGCAGGTAGTAGTTGTTATTTCGATGAAAATTTTCAGTTATTTTTATTTCAGTTATTGCAATTATTTCGGTTATTTCAGTTATTTATTTCAATTATTATTTTATTCCAGTTATTATTATAAAAAGTCTATTTCAATTATTTCGGTTATTTCAGTTATTTATTTTAATTACTATTTTATTCCAGTTATTATTATTATTATGAAAAGTTTTTTTCAGCAGATGTCGCAGTGGACCAAGAATATACCTGGAGAATGTACGGGTCTACCAGGTAAACTCATTTTTGACTCCATTCTTGATGTATTGATGATTAATGCACAACTAGTCAGGTATTTATATCTTCAGGAATCACACTGCAACCCAACGGCGCAACGCAATCGGAAAATTTTGCTGTGCAAGGTATTGCTGGAAGAAAAGGACCAGCTGAGCTATCACCGGAACGTGAATTCTCGAATGATCCACTGGATGCAGCGGCTGCGTTCTTCACCATATCCAAAGCACTCTTCGCAGCTTCAAAAGCACGGTACATCCTCTTTTCCTGAATTAGATAATTGGCCAGCGCACGAGCTGCCCGTGCGAAGATGTGTTTTTTGCGTAGTTCCCCGCAGGTTTTTTCTTGCTAACGGCACTGGTTTTTCCTGCAGATGCTTCTAGGTAGAAGAATTATAGACTGGCGGCCAGGACTGTCAAGAAACATCTCTTCAAAATTCTAGTCTCCTAGCTTCTCACGTTCCCGAGTTATTAACTTACCCGAAAGAAACTTTCACGAGCCCGTACGTAGGTACCACGCTTACCCGCGGGCAGGATTTGATCTCATTAATACCCACTTGAATGGGGAACATCCCATTAAGATTTCAGCTTTCTAGCTTCTCAAATTCCCGAGTTATGAAGTTACACGAAAAAATTTTAGCGGGCCTGTACGCGGGTACCACGCTTACCCGGAGGCTGGGTTTGAGCTCATTAATACCCATTTGAACAAGGAACATCATTCTAAGATTTCAGCTTTCTAGCTTCTCGGATCCCCGAATTATGAACTTATCCATAAAAAACTTTGACGGGCTTGTACATGGATGCTACGCGGGTAAAGGAGCCCATTTTGAGGATTGGGCCCGTACGTGCGCGTAGATTAAGTTCCCAAAGTTTCGGCTCTGTAACTTTTGTAGGTCTTGAGATGAAAAATCCGCACAGACGCACACACAGACACTCGGGCACACAGACAACCCTCGTCAATATGCGTTTTCTGTATTGCATAGCTGCAGAAAACGCATAAAAATAGTCATAAAATGTAGTCGGGTTCTTCGGATCGTTTTTCACATTTCCCAATGCACAGCAGTGAAAGAACGATCACCTCTCATAAATCTTTCATTCTTTTTCACACTCCTCTCCTCCGCGTGGTCTCTTCCCTCGAAGGAATTTCTTTGGCAGTTTGCCACATCGAAAATCCTTCATTTGTTTGCACTATAAAAATGGCTGTACATTTTTCTTCTTTGCACATTAATTTGAACCGTACTTTGGGAATTGAATTTATCACCTGAAGGAAAAAAGCCACATTTTCATTTTAAATAAATAGACAACGCGCACCAGGCTAGCCGATGCGACCATGCGTTTTGTGCAATTCAGCCCACCGAACGATTGCCTATTAATGACACTGGTTTGCACTTTAGTCTATGCAAAAATAGTTCAAACATTGGACAACAGTTAAAAATTTCACGCATCGGCGCATGGAAGCTGAATTTAAAACCTTGAAGGGTGAATATCTTTATCCCTAGTTAATAGTTTACCCGCCAAAATTTTCACGAGGCCACAGGTGATACTCGAGAGCGCAGAAGCGCTAAATTTGAGTAGGCAAGGTTGAGCGTGGGCAAGGGGTCATTACCCTAAAATTTCAGCCTCCTAGACTCTGTGGTTCCCGAGATATTAATTTACCAGTGAAAAACTTTCGCGGGGCCGTGCGTGTTACCCGCGGGTTCGGAGAACCTGAATTTAAATTTGCGAGGTCACACGTGGGTGGGGAACGTTCCCCTAAATTTTCAGCTTCCCAGCTTTTGTGGTTCCCGAGTTGAAAGATGCGGACAAGTTGCTGCAGGCACACACACACACACACACACACACACACACACACACAAACACACACAGACAACCCCGTAACAATA